TTTCTCAAATCAGTGTTAGATTGTTACTCTATTCCAGAAAAACGTTTTTGCCTCACTGCAACGCAAGATTCTTTGGCGCACGAGCACGCGAATGAGCCGCAGGAGCAAGACGAAGACAACGAAAGTGTGAAGTCGATTTGAATTATGGATTCAATCTCAAATCTTGATCTCGACATTCCTGTTTTTTTAACTTAATTATAGTGATTTCAATGTTCTTTTTCGGTCACGAAATGAAGAGTGTTTCTGAACTCGTGTCAAGCACAGCACCTTTGTAAGATGTGTGTAGTACAAATTTTTGAAGGAGAACCTATTTGAAAAAAGGCCCAGCCGGAAGCTGATCGGATCGCAGCTATATCGCGTCTCCCGCAGGAGACTGCAGCTTAGAGGGTGAGTCCCGCCAGTGACCGGATTGCGACATTATCAGGACTCCCGCAGGAGCTCCCGGTTTCCTCAGTAGAAAACATGTCGGGACAAAACCGCGTGTCGCGCCGCATTAGCCCGAACGAAAACCGGGAGTTCCGGTTTTCTCGCGAACCATTTTACTTGTGTCCCGCAGTCATTCCGGCGAGACACAACTTTTTCACCGGCGCGACTTAACTGCGAATGTCTGAGGACTATTGTAGGTTAATGCGCACCACAAGCAATATATTGGGAAATGAACACTCGGTGACTAAGTAGATACTTTTTCTAAGGGTAAAACAATCGGAAGAGATCAAGTGATTGGAAGAGTCACATTAGCCTTCGCAACACTCTTTTCTAGCGAAAGTTGGTTATCACAACCACGGTACGCACAGCAGCTATTTACAAGGATTAGCAAAAGTGGCGCTTTCATATGCTGGGTATCCTTTTTTGATTGGAAAGCAAAAAGGAAATTGTGAAATCTTGAGTGAGGAACCAATATTAGTAAGTATAATTCTTACTCTAAAAAGCCCAGTTTGATATAATGCTTACCAGCAACAAGTTAAATAACAGGTTAGAAACACATTTATGCATAAATTTGTGTGTGCAAGATCCCAACGTATTAAAACATGATCCGTATGCACAAAAAAATCAACTTTTTGCTGTTTACAACGATGAACAATACTGAGCACCAAATCTGTTGCACAGCTTCGCGACCACGACTAAAAGAAAAGTATGAAGAGTTATGAAAAAATTATGTGGATGGAAAGAGTTGTAAGCGTTTTTCTATTTTAGGTTGCTACCGAACCAAACAAAATCATGACTCATCTTTTTCTTCAAATAATTTTTGCAAAAATTTTTGCACATATCTACTGTTCAGTTCAACGCCAACAAGTCTTCACCTTAACCCAGGTTTCTCTCCCTCTGCTTTGCTACGGTCTTTGATGATGTAAAAAACCTCATTTTTTTGCCTTCGGCTGTTTTATGTATTTTCCTGTTTTTTCTTCAACTTCCATCCCTTATTATTGAGATGCAATTATGAGCCGTACTTCTAAAAAGCTACAAAAGTTTATTGGTGGATTTTTGTAATGTCAAAGGGGAAGTCTTTTCCAAGATTCTAATTGGGGGTTTTACAAGATTTTAATTAGCAAGCCACATTGACATGTTGACAATTAGTTTTATCGGGCGGTAATAGAACGAGGTGATAATTTGACCTTACTAAAACAGACTCTTCATTACCATTCTTTCTTTTACTGATGATTGGAGTCCGCGATCTCACAATTGAACGGCCACTTCTCATAAAAATTCGATGCAGTGAGACTATATCTATGAAAATCCGAGAAACATTGGGTTCTAAATTGTTGGGTTAATGGCTCGTCGTTCACGTCTTTTCCGAAAAGCCGTAACTGTCTTTTATCTGCACTGATTACGGAATTCATGTAGTTTGAATAACTTTGTTGCAAAGTAAAGACCTTGAGTTTGGCTAAAAGTCTCAAAACCGAAATGGTCATGGACGTAAGTTTCGTAAATTTTTGCTTTTGAATGAGCAAAAGTTGTGCTGAATCGAATACGGGCACGACAAGTTATGATATCTGAAGAAGTCTTGAAAAATCAATTTTGCCGTTGTATTGTCCTCACAAAATATGTAACTCCTCCTGGAGACTTTCGATCAGTACAAACGTTGTTTAGCTTGAGAAAAAAGGTCACAAAACCATTTTTTTATTTTTTTATTAACATTCAAACATCGGCAAATGGCCAGGGCCAAGCAGCCAGGGTCAAAATCGACTGGTAGATCTAGCAGTCGATTTTGAACGTTATTCATTAGAAAAGCAAAGATCAATGTATACGACTTTGTTCTTACGAATGTTGGAGGAGGATTGAGGATGATTCAAAATTAATCTGTAATTCGATTCGATTTGAGACCAAAACCAAGCCCGCGCAAAGTACGACCGACTTTTAGCTGAATCTTGCAAAATCGCTCACGGAGCAGTAATAAAAACCTATGAGCGTTTGAACAACTTTTATGTTACAATGCAAAAGCGGCAAGAGTCACTGTTATTGGCAACACTCAAATTTCTTCTAACATCATCGAGCTTCTTAATGTTAGCCTTGGACTTTCATTCTTTCCTGCGCAGAATGTCAGTACTGCTACTTATCGCAAAATTGTTGGAATCTTGCACAAAGTCAGAGGCAGTCTAAGACTGAAAGCTAAACATAGAGATAGAGTCTAGCAATGATGTCTTACGAATCTAACGGCTTACTATTAGTTTCTTTCCCTTAATCGTTTTACAAACAGCCATCTCCCGTTCTTGAGGTAAACATAAAGTTCCTCTCTTATGTTCTGCTGTTTTGGAAGTGCTCAAAACAGAGCAAAACATCAACATCAGAACAAATTGTTATACGAACAGTAGCAAGATTTCGAAGAGTACGCGAACTCGTCTCGAACGCTGCAATACGCGTGTCTGTAAACGATAAAGGCGGCGAGTTTGTGGTAATGCCTCGGGAGTTCGATCGTAGAATAACAGCAACGCATCTTGTGGACACCACAACGTATAAAATGGTCTCTGACAAAGAATTTTACACCCAATGTAAGAAGTTGAATAACGCTTGGACCACGACAACAAAATCAGCTGGACTTGCCGACAGAGTCAACAGGTTGAAACTCAAACGTCTAAGTTGTCCAATGTTTTATATCTTGATCAAAACGCACAAGCTTTCTTTGTGAGACATGAACCAATATCGGAGGACACCTACAACATTATCAGACCAATCATCATTTGTGTAGGCGGCCCAACCGACAGTATTGCATGGTTTTTGAACAAAATTGTGAGGCATTTGCTGTCCAAGGGACCTGCACATCCATCCAACTCACACGGATTTATCGAACAGGTTCGCAGCGCTAGGTTTGATTCGAGCACTGTAATGGAGTCATTCGACGTGACATCGCTTTAAACTAATGTGCAAAATGAACAAGCTTTGCAAGCACTATCAGAGATGTTGGATAGGCATGGCAATACCATCAATACATTTGACTTGGCAAGTTGACAGTGACCCTGATATATGAATGTTTGAAGTACAACATCTTTAGATGGTCTGGGACTTACTACTCCCAGATACATGGCTTATCAATGGGTCAGAGACTAGTGCCTGTACTCACTGTCTGCTTCATGAGCAAGATCGAGGAACCGGTGATAGCTCGAATGCCTCTCATTTACTGCCGTTATATCCATGACCTGTATAGCGACCTCCACAAGTCCGAAATGGACGAGTGTTTCGAGATATTTAACCAGCAGTCGCAGTAGTAAAGCTCACACGAGAGGCACCACGATCAGGGCCCGGCACGAGCTTGTCAAATGACAAGCTGGAAATCGTTTTCGGCAAAAAAAGCAAAGGGGAAATCGTTTTTGCGGGGTCCGGGGCGGAGCCCCGGAAAAAAATTGGTAGTGCACGTTCTCTGCTTATTTTAACATGTTATGTGCCTCAACATGAGAAGACTGGAGTTCGCGCGCGTCAAACCGCGCCGTCGCTAATTGCCGCACGCGCGACGTCGCTCAAACGAGCTATTTGTAACGGCATACATGACTAGTTCTCAATGTACGCGTCACGGTATGACACCAGATTTTGTAGGCGAACGGAGAGAGGCTAGTGGAAGCAAAGTATGAAAAATTATGAAAAACTTATGTGAACGGGACGAGTAATAAGCATTTTTTCCAAAGATTTTGCAAAATTGGTAAATGAAGTTGTAAATTCAAATGGCCCGTTTGCAACGCGCAGATGACGATATGGTATGAAACTTGGTACGCACGTGGACACAAGCCTGTAGGAGCTAACTTAGGAGTTTTATTGAAAAATTATGTGACTGAAAGTTGTGGCAAAGTTTTTTTCTGAAAATTTCCCGCTACCAAAGAAATGGAAAAATGGCTCGTTTGCAACGCAGAGGAGACGAAATCGTGCGGGATTCGGTGTGTATATGCGCAGTAGGACTAAGTAACAAAGTATGAAAAATTATGAAAAACTTATGTGAATGAAGACTTTCCCCAACTTATTTCCAAATTAGCTTGCCATTTGACAAGCTAATGACAAGCTGAGCTTGGCAAAACTCTCAATTCACATAATTTTTTCAAAATTCTTACATAAATCTACTCTACGCCTAAACATTAGTATATATTGAAATTTTGGTTTCAAACCTCCTCCTCTCCCCATTGCTAGAGGCAAAAATAGCCTCAGCAGTCCCGTTTCCTGAGGAGGAAAGCGCGCCCGAATTGAACGGCGTGTCGCTGAGTCCTTTAATCAGCGTTTGGTGTCTCGGTGTGTCGCCCACTTTTCTGCGTTTTCGTTTGTCTTTCTATTTTCTTTCTGTTTTTTTTGTTTTGCCAAAGCTAGGTCGGCGGAGGTAGAATTTGATGGATTTGATGGATTCCATTTGTTAATAAGTGAAAATATAGGGCTGTTATTGCAAAACTCTGTTATTTTCGATTGCTTTCTCCACCAGTATTTTAGAGAGCTTCCTGCACCTCACATTACGATATCTCGTAGTCAGTGAGCTAAAGATTTGCTGATGACTCTTGATCTTGCTAGGAGGCATCTTTATATGTACTACTATGGAGGTTTGCCATCAAAGTCCCAATTTTCTTGCATATACCTGCTAATTTTCTGGAATTAAGAGAACTCATTACAAAACATTCGTTTTAGGTCGCGGTACAATCGCGAACCAATGAAAAGTTCGATCTGGAATGTACTTTATTCTCGAGCAGCATAGATTGGTTCAACCTCCGAATTGATGAACTTGGTGAGGTATCGGCGCAAGTTAAGAGGAGGAGCATCAGCATGTGAGTAAAAAAATACAATCACTTCTTTTGCTAAAAAATTTATCTTATATATCTTTTCTGCACTCTTTCTAACGGTAGTAGTTGTTTGCAGTTTTCCACCCGTGCCCAAAGCTATATCAATTGATTTTATGTTGTATACGTGTGATGGCGAAGTTTTACCAATGAAATCTTGGTAAGTGCTTAACGTAAAGTAGTTTTGTTATCATATTATGTTAGTTCTTTTATGATATCTACAAAGACAAGAAGAGAATTTGCCTGCAGTTAAATATTATTCGTTGAACTTACTTAAAGGCAAATCACTTTGTGTTCGGATAGAAGTTTATTATATATCGATAGTTCAAACTTGTGGGTCGATGGTATATAATGATGTTGCGTGACTGCGGTCACGATTGGCTTTTGTCGGAGTGGAATAAGCCAATTGCGACCGCAGTCACGCAACACCATAATGTAGCCATAAATTCGGTAGCATATTCTTCACAAAAGATTAACGAATAAAGCATTTGCTTTAAAATATCATTTTTGATCTATGATTAGTGCTCTACGTAACATTACCGTGCTGAAGGTCACGGGTTCGATTCCACACTAAGCCTAATTTCTGCGGCAAAAATTCTGCTCACAATTCCAGCGTCAGGCTGCCCTTCCAAAGAAGGGCATGCGACAAGCCGGCTGAGAAACACCCCGCCGCATCAACATAGCAGACATGTCTCATATAGAATCTCGAGTAAAGGCTAGGGCGTCCCCCGGGAGCGACGCGCATTCGAGCCCGACGAATGCGAAGAGTGGGCGAGGGTTACCGTCTCAGCAAGGTGAACGGGGACGGCTAAAGCGGCTAGTTCACCAGAGGCAACGAACCAAGGCATCGCAGACTCTCCGTCTAGCTACCATCAATATGGGCACACTCACCTCTCGTTCTCGTGAGTTAGCAGATCTTCTGAAGAGACGGCGAGTCGATGTAGCCTGCATACAGGAAACAAAGTGGAGCGGGGCAAAGTCACGCGACATCGGAGATGGATATAAGCTCCTGTACAATGGTGCCACCTGCACCAGAAACGGGGTTGGTATAGCTGTCTCGGAGACTCTACGGAGCAATATACTTGACGTTGAGCGCATAAGCGATCGTCTGATGAGCATCAAGATAGATACTGGGAAACAGGTCCTACGAGTAATTACCGCCTATGCGCCACAAGTCGGATGTAAGGATGACGAAAAAGACACGTTCTGGCAGGAGTTGGATGACCACATCAGTTCAGTTCCACTGGATGAGACACTTCTGCTAGGAGCGGACCTCAACGGACATGTGGGAAAAAGGCGAGGAGAAGCCGGGAAATGTCACGGAGGCCACGGATACGGAACATGCAACGAAGAAGGTGAGCGCATTCTGGAATTCGCCTCAGCTCATGATCTGGTCCTGGCGAATACATACTACATCAAGAAAGATGATCACCTTATAACATATGCGAGTGGGGATCGGCGAACACAGATAGACTTCTGGGCTATCCGACAACGTGACCTCAAAAACGTAAAGGACTGCAAAGTCATTCCCGGTGAGAGCTGCATACCTCAGCACAGACCACTGCTTCTCGACATCAGAATCCCAATGGATAGACACACCAGGAGAGCCACAGAGACTAGGACCCGCATTAAATGGTGAAAATTAAAAGGCAACAACGCGGCAAAAGAAGCATTGCTAACAGCTCTACCACGCTTGCAAGATAACCCAGATCAATCCTGGGAAAGCTTGAAAGATCGAGTCCACGAAGTGGCACGCATGATCCTGGCAAGTACAAAGCCAGGAAAAAGAAGGATCAATCGAGAAACGTGGTGGTGGAATGACGAAGTGCAAAAACTCATAAAAGAGAAGAGGAATGCGTACAAGCGATGGCATAAGACGAAATCAGAGGACGATCGCCAGACGTACCAACAAGCCAAACGTGCTGCGAAGGCTTCCGTAAAGAGGGCAAAACAGGCGTACTTGAAAGAGCTCTACGATCAACTAGAGTCTCGCGAGGGAGAACGCGAGATATACCGAATAGCGAGAAGAAGAGCGGAGTCCACGAAAGATATGGAACACTTCCTCCATATCAAAGACAAGCTTGGTAGGACGCTAAGAAAACCAGAGGACATTACCGAACGATGGAGAACCTATTTCGAAGAAATGGCCACCACAGGCCGCACCATCAACTCCATCCCAGAAGCCAGCCCCATAGAGGGACCAGTACCAGCAGTCACGGAAGAGGAAGTATGGCTGGCCATAAGAAGAACAAAGAACGGCAAAGCGACTGGTCCAGACGACATACCAAGCGAGTTCTGGAAAATATGTGGACAATCCGGAGCCACATGGCTAACGAGTCTCCTCAATCAAATCATAAGGAGCAAGACTATGCCTCGCGACTGGTACACCAGCACGACCATCCCGGTATGGAAAAACAAAGGAGACATAGCAGACTGCGCATCCTACCGACCAATCCGACTGATGAGCCACACTCTAAAAATCTTCGAGAGAGTAATCGAAACACGCCTTCGAGATATCATAGAGTTGTCACCGAATCAGTGCGGATTCGTGAAGGGAGTAGGTACAACTGACGCAATCCATTCCGCTCGGATAGTGATGGAGAAGTACAGAGAGAAGCAGAAGGAATTGCATGCAGCCTTCCTGGACCTAGAGAAAGCCTTCGATAAGGTGCCCCATGAAGTCATATGGTGGGCCTTACGGAAACACAGGGTGCCAGAGGAGTACGTTCAGTGGATAAAGTTGATTTACTACAACGCGTCAAGCCACGTGCAAGCAGCTGCAGGGCAATCGAAAGAATTCGAAATCAAGGTTGGAGTACACCAAGGTTCAGTTCTCTCTCCCTTGCTCTTCATCACGGTGATGAATGCCGTGATGGAACCGCTCAGACGTGACCCCCCTTGGACACTTCTCTACGCAGACGATGTGGTCTTGATAGCAAGTGCCAGAAAGGAACTACAAGACGAGGTGCAAAACTGGAAAAACAGGCTAGAGTTGTATGGCCTGAAGCTCAACACCAGGAAGACAGAATATATGAAAGTGGGGAAACAAACTCCAGGTACCATAAGCATCGATGGTGAAGAGCTAAAGAAGGCAACGTCATACAGATACCTAGGCAGTCACATCTCAGCGGAGGGAGGCTTACAAGAGGAGGTCGCAGGCAGGATGAACACAGCGTGGATGAAATGGAGAGCCTTAACAGGAGTTCTGTGCGATAGACGAATGCCAGTGCAACTCAAGTCCCAACTGTACCGGACCGTTATCCGCCCAGCAGCACTGTATGGCAGTGAGTGCTGGCCGTGTACGCGGAACGAGGAGCGCAAGCTCAGTGTCATGGAAACAAGGATGCTACGATGGACCTTAGGAGTCACACTGAAGGATCACATCTGCAATGACACTATACGAGCGCGAATGAAAGTTGCTCCAATTGCCCAGAAAATGCAGGAAAAGAGGTTACGATGGTATGGGCATGTGAGCAGAAGGAATGAAAGTCACATCACCAAGTTGGCCCTGGCTGTGGAGGCACCAGGCAAAAGGCCCAGAGGTAGACCCAAGATGAGGTGGATGGACAGAATCAAGGCTGACCTGCGAGAACTTGGTATAGATGAAGACCTTGCCTCAGATAGGACCAGATGGAGACATCTCACAAGAAAAGCAGACCCTGCGTAAGCGGGACATATGCGAGGATAAAAAAAAATCTATGATTTGGGCACATACTCCATTTTTTTGCGATGTCAGAATTCAAGTCTTTAAGAATACTTCGATATCCAAGCTTTGTGTATTTTTGTCTTTAGGCTCATCATTTGTTTGTCAAATCCAAATTTCAGTCATCTTGTTTAAGGAAGTCTTCTGTTGATGAAGGAGAGAAGTTGATGGCATAGGCGAATGACATCAAGTCACAGTCATATCTACAAATGAGTGTTATGCAACGAAGCGCAACGGTAGCAGCAAGAATGACACCGTTGCATAGGTGAGCTCGCTGTGTTCTTGAAATATGCGTTTTCGATAGATATATCTTGAAGATGTGTGATGAATGCCGTACGGTTTCCGCTTAACGTTTTTTTAAATAATATTCAACGCAATACTCTGTAAAAAAGTGAATTTCTTAGGGAAGTATTTTTGTGCTGTGCGCTATAGGCATGGATATGACTCTGATGTGTGATCTCATATCTTTTTTGATTTGCAAATTACTTCCTTACTATTTGCATTTTCGTCACTTTCCGTATGATGCTAGTGCATCATCATTTTGAGATAAATGTAAAGGCGGAGACTGTTGTTTTTCCGCTTGGCTTCAGGAGAAGGGCACCGCTGCCTCGCGAGTTTCAGCCTGCGATCGTATTATTTTTCTTCGCTTGCTATATATCAGAGTTGTTTCAGGTACTACGCGAAAAAGCAAAGCTGTGATGCGTTCGTTATCTTCTACAAGCTAGGAGAAGGCGCATCTGAGCTGGATCTCGGATCAGAAACAAAACGAATTCCCACATTTGTTGGAGTTTTCACACTTGAAGTTGCTTATCGTACACAAACGGATAAGGAAGAGGTGTTGTCACCGCCTGAAGGGCTGATTCTCCTAATCAGGTATTTTTCCGTAATCTTTTATCGATTTGCATACGTTTGCATGTATGTTTTAAATATGCCGAGTTTTGCTATCATTACTTTGAATACTTGGTTCTTCTCTATCATTTTTTCTTGCTATGGAATGAGACTTGGCAGGAGAAACCATTATCCGTCGGAATCCGGCGCTGACCTTAGCTAGGTATATAGCTAACGCGACCATAAAAGGCGACCCGGCTGCCTCTTACTTTTTCATTGATCTTACTTATCAGATGATAAAGTGGTCCTGCATTTGATATGATATTTTGTTCATCCTCTGGGTCGTATTATAACTGATCATTTCGCTATCCGTATTCAAGTGATGAATGGGAATTTGAGTTGCTAACAACTGATGTTGATGGATGACGTTCAGAATCATTTACAAATTCTTTTTGTTGTTAGGGATTTCAAAACAAGACTGTCATTAGTAAGGATGACTTCATCTCCCTGAACAGTGTACACGTTTTGGGAAGCAGAGGCTCTTCTAACTTCATCAAATAAAACCTTTTTATATTCTGGCGAAAAATTATTGGGATAATGATAAATTCCATAAGATACTAGAGAAACATCACTTCCTCAGTATTTGCGCGTTATGGCATATTGAGAGAGTATCCAAGAAGAAGGGAATCTTCAGTACCGTGGCAAGATCAGAGAGTAAAAAAGACAAATGATAGTTTCAGGATGGCCTAATGATTTGGTAAGTAAGATTCATATGTAATAAGTAAGATTCTAGCCAAAGGAAAAATAAGAGGCAGCTGGGTCGCCTTTTATGGTCGCGTTAGCTATATACTGTAGCTAAGGTCAGCGCCGAATTCCGACGGATAATGGTTTCTCTTGGCAGGGGGAGGGGGGGGGGGGGGAGGAGCCTGGTTTGTACACTTAATCCTTTTTGAATCATCTAGTTCAATTGTTTCCCAACTCTCTAATGTAATCTTTTGTTTATTTTTATGAATGAATTGTTTTTGTTTTTTCGTCAATAAAACTTGTTTTTTGGTCAAAATGTTCACTGCAGAATCACTGGGATCAATTTTTGAGTCAAAGGGGAATTCGTAAAAAATTTTTAGGTCAAAGGGGAATTCGTTTTCGAAAACCCCTTTTGACAAGCTCGTGCCGGGCCCTGACCACGATGGCTGCCCTATTTCAACGCACAAGTGAGGTTGTCCAACGGCATAAAGAAGCAAATGTCACTGCAGTTCTAAAAGTTTCCAAACCTCAAGCTGTGACAGAGTTCCGGCTTATAAGCATAAATCCAGTACCGTGTAAAGTTCTGGAAAATATAATCCGTGACAAACTTCTTTCTTGGCTGGGAAGGTTTTATCTCAATCCCGGTGAACAGTTTCCGCTCCGATGCTTCAAAGCAGAAAATGTCATTTTGTTCGAAAGCATTATTCGCATCTATTCTCCGAACACGTGCAAATGAAATAAAACGAGGACGATCGTAAATTTTATGCTGCGCTGCTGATACACTTCATCATTTTTCGCATTTCTTCAGGGGTTTATCAGCAATGGGGCATCGATTCGAAGCGAAATTTGTATCATTGCTGCATTTTCATGTTTTGGTTGAAGCGTACCAGTTTCCACTTAGTAATTGATGCTACTTCCTCATTTATAACGCCTCATTCTCTGTACAATAAGAACCGATTTTTCTCTCAAATCTTGAAATGATGTAAGAATGAAGAACCCTTTTTCAATTAAAATAAGTCAATTTGATCTATTATCCTGGCTTTTTTCTAAACTTTGATCGTGCTTTTTGTTCAAAAGAGTAAGGTTATTTAGAAAGAGAGGAGAGTAAAAAGTGAGTGGATCGCTTAGTTGTAAAGAAAGCTATTAATTAGAGTTTTTGCTCCATTACTTTTGTCGACATTTTCAAATTTCGCTAGCTTTCAAATCATCCCACTATTGTGCTTATTCAAATTTCTTTTCCCTATGTTTTTCAAAATTGTGTTTTGGTGGACTGCAGCAAAAGTTTCCAGCCAGTAATGCACATGATTTGGAATAATCCGTTATTTGAATATGGATACCATGAGCATAAGCAAAACAAGACTTACTTAGAAAACTGGAAACAAGAGCTCTCAAATGAGTCAAGCATTGTCAGCAAGAGTATTTCTTCAAAAGTAACTGTTCACGAATTATAAAAAAGGTAGGATTTTGAAACAAACGAGTATGTTATGATTAACATTTGCAAAATTTCGCTCGGATAAGATGCGAATCATAGTTTCAATAAAAAAGTGTTTAGACTTTTTCGAATATCCAAAAAATGTTCTAGCAAAGTATCCTATCTATAATCAGGGCCCGGCGCGTTGGTTTGAAACACTTACGAAAACGAAGTCCCCCATGATTTCGCAAAATACGAAGTATCCTTTTGAAAACAGTGGGTGGACCTTTGCTTGAAAACAGTGGGTGGACCTTTGCTCCACATAACAACACAATAGAAGACATATTTTGAGATATTTGATCGACTTTGTTATTGAGAGTGGTACCATCTTAGTGTTAATATGTAGAAAACCTCTAGGTCAACATTCGACCGTATCTGTAGCCTACAGCTTGGCAACGCATTTGTTGCAACGTAATTCAAAGGACGCCTTTATACGTACTTTTATATTATTTTTGGCTCGAAAAAGAGAGGAGAAGCTATGACTTGATCTGCTCTTTTCACTGTTTAATTGATTTGTGAGTATTCCAATCGTACAAATCAGAAAGGTTCAAAACTTATGTAAACTCTCATTTTACGCTCCGGACCAACCTAGTTGCTTTGGTGTTGACCTAATAAAAACAAATAGAAAAGGATACTAGGACACACAAGTTTACGGAACTTTTTACATAATTCAGTTTCGAGTTTTGTGCTCACATACCAAACTGGTGTCATGTGATTGTTTGTGCGCTGTAAAGAACCTATTTGGTTTAGTCCTCAATACACCTGCGAAAGAATACGTTCAACGCGTAAAATCTGTGTTTGCCGAATTCCTCCGAGCTTCACCCGGACCCTGCAAAAACCACATTTTTGCTCTAACCCAAAAACGAAGTCCATTTGATCCCAGACAATCTATGCCGAGCCCTGTTTGGAACCCTAACTCAACTTTAGTGTAGAGTCGCTCATCAAATGACCGCGCATGGTTCAAGTTGACCTTCTACGGGCCTTTGATCACGATGCCTTGCGTTCTCGGGCTGCTGCTCTACTTTATGGAGAGATAAAATAAATCTATTTATTACATGAAAAGATCGAATAAAACAGCATCCGTAAGAGTAAGCTTCTAAAAATATTTATACGCGTACAACAGAGGCCACTTAATGAGCCTAGCGTTAGTACTTGGACTCAGAGGTTTGTATTTAACATAGCAAATAATCAAACTCTTCTCAATGGATATGTGGAGCACTGTAGTCTGCACTTCCAGTCACCACGTTTGCAGTGTTTCTCGCACTACAATGTGACACATTCTGAAGGTTTCCGTACACACAAAAACTTACATCAAAACTGCTTTGTCGGCTATTAATACCTCCGCCTAGCGGCGATCTCAGTCCTGTTCCCTCCATCACCACGATCACATAGGCCAGCACTAAGGCTAATAGCGGCTTCACAGGAAACATCGCTACCAATAAGTTATCTACAATTTGTAATAATTATTTGATAAATTCACTATATGCGAAGCGCGTGTGCGTTAGCATTTCGCAGTGGACAATTAAGACTGTCTAAATGTAGACTCTGATTATTGTGGAAGAAACTGGCATCTTGTGGATGGAAGCATTATGTTCGAAGCCACGGATTTCCAAAAATGAACCAGAGATTTCATAAAACAATCGTATGTGAAATGCCTAGCATTGACGATTTGCTCTCTGTGACAAGCCAAACGTTTTCTAAAGCGCGGTAGCTGTTATATAACGTTTTCCATTTCATGTTTTGAATAAGGACCGACGACTGGTGGCTTTTGCAAAAGCGGTATTTTATTGTTAAATCAACATAACAAAACTCTCTACTCTGAATAACTGCTTTTGTCTAACGGACACATTCATTGCAACTGCTATGGCATCGCATACATTCACACCACTCGTGGTCATAGGTGTCAGTTGCACTTGCACAACTAATGGCTGCTTGATCATTGTTTGGCTGCAAGATTATCAATACTGTGATTTGTGTAGTCCTAGCTTGTCTACAATTTCCCAAATGTTAGAAAGCAGTGAAGCCAGCAATTGATGGCCAGTACTGGATGAATTATATTCAACCTAAGTGCTAGTAATCAAAACAAGTTACAGCAATATTGCATGCGAACAGTTATATTAGGTTGTCCCAAAA